CTATGGAAAAATCTATATAAAATTCTACATTATATCAAAATATATTTTATAAAATTTGGTGTTGTAGATGTTAATATATTTTAATATAAGCTTAATGAAAACATAATGAAGTTTCGTTTAGGACAAACCTAGAACTTCGATTAATTTTTAACAGAAGGAGCCTCCCCAAAAAAATTGGCATTGAAGTTGTCTTTTCTTTTAAGCCGCGTTTCTTGGGGCTCCGATTAAAAAGGTAGAAGAGAGTTGACCGGTTTATTTGTGAAAACCCAGACAAAAATTGTTACAACACACCCACAAGAAATGGCATATCGGTCCACTTGGCTACTCACAAGACCAACATACACTATCAAGGAAAGGACACTATTGAAGTTGCCTGCAATGTCATCGTCATCACTTCTCCCTGAGCAAGTGACTCCGACTTTATCGTGGACAACCTATCAAGACCCCTTCAAATAAACATCACATGAAATCTGTCGGCCTATGCCAAACAACCAACCAAAAGTGCAGAGGACTAAGCAACTCCCAATTTTGCCGACAAGCTTCCCAGGATAAAGTTGCAATTCTTGCATTGACCTAGTCCAACAGACCAAACGAAGAGCATCGCCAACCAAACCAACCTTCATTGGTCATTCTTGCCATAGTGACATCAGCACACAACTTCGACTTCTTCGCCTCACATCGAGAAACAGCAGACACACCCAAGAAGCCCCTTGAAACAACGACATTGGGAGGACACGCGGCGATCCTACTTTGCTCACAATCGTCGTTGTCGCCACACGGATCTCCTCAGCCGGCCAACACCAAATACGAAGCCTACAAGGAGGGAAACGACGCCAAAGGCGTCACGTTCGTCCGATCCAGGAATCATGATCCGAGGTTTCCCTCGAAGCATAGAGGAGGGAAGGCCACCCAAACACCACCAAAAGCCGACCAGACCAACCAGAAGAGGCCTTGCTACCAACATTCGCCGAAGAGGCCTTGCTACCAGCCCGCAGGGCTTCGCCTGACTGCTTCTTCCGGCAACGGTGAGGGAGGGAGGGTGGAGATGAGGGGTTGGCAGCGGTGCTTTAGGTTTCCGACTCAGGGACACTGCCCTAGCAAGCAGAGATCAAGGTGTCCTTCTCATCATTGTAGCATGAGGATGTGTAGCCTAAACAACTGCACAATCTGAAGAAACAGAAAACTTATGAAGCCATTCCATACTAATTCCTTCCCTGGAAAGAAAGTTTCACTTCATAAGGTAAAGTTGACCTCCATTTCAGCATATCAACATAAGAGCTCAGCAGTTCATTTCTAGGGCTAAACCCTGCTGGTTTTCGGCAAGGGCTCACTCTGTCTTATCACCACCACATAAGACGAGATATTTGGATTTTTGCCACTTTGTTCGTGGGGCTTCGCAGGTTTGCCACTCTGGAGATTTGGTTCGCACAATTGCCACTTCAGTCGTTGCATCCTTGATTTGTATGCCATTAGCCCTGTTTTAAATTTTTTTTGGCATTGACAGGCTAGTGAAAAGACTAGCTTACCCCTGTGGCTATCTACACGAATGAATCTGATTTACACGTACGTGTATGGTTTGACCATGGGGGCTCAGTTCGTACCAGCACCAGGCATTGGCTTCGCCTGTGAGATCGCCCACTGCCGCTCTGCGCTCGCCGTCGCCGCGCTGGCCACCACCTCTTGCACCACCCCCGGGCTCGTTAGTCGCCGGTTGCCGCTCCGGCTCCCTACTCGCCCCGTCCGTTTGCTGGTCGCAATGCTCGCCTACTCGCCGCTAGTGTCGATCGTTGCTCGAGGTCGCCGTCGCCGCTCACCACTGGCAGTCTCCGCCCGCTCTCCGTCACCTCTTGCGCCACCTGTGCGGTCGTTGTTCGCTGGCTGCGCCTCCCACTCCCTGCTCGTGGATTGGCGAACAAGAAGTGCCTGAAGCTAATGGCAAAATGCAGTTATGCAAGAGATACATTTTACAGTACCTAATTATTCAGAGCTTTGACTGGGTGTTTGTTCTTTTAGCAATTTTTGTGTTATAATCCTAAGTTATGGACATGCTTTATTGGTACGAGGAAAGCAGGATTGATGTATATCAGTGAGAACTTGCTGTACCTTTTGTATCAACGAATGAAATTATGTGGTTTGGAAGCGTTTTTTCAGTCATTTGGTACAAACTATGACATTCAGGATTTGTAAGAGAAGAGAGATCGACCACTGTAGAATTTTGAACTGGAGAATAAACAAACAAAGATGTGCAGGTTCAGGTTCAGGTTCCATACTACCCTCCAAGCCGATCAGGTTTCGCTCGAGTGCCACGTCCAGGCAACTGGTGCCATGGCGCAGTTAGCTATATTATCGACAGCCAGCGTGTGCCCTCTGCGGTCAAGTGCTGACTCGTTGGCAGATACATTTGTGTAGATAACCACAAGGGTAAGCTAGTCTTTTCACTAGCCTGTTAATGTGAAAAATATTAAACCGGGGCTAATGGCATACTAATCAAGGATGCAACGACTGAAGTGGCAAATGTGCGAATCAAATCTTCAGAGTGGCAAATCTGCGAAGCCCCATGAACAAAGTGGCAAAAATTCAAATATCTCACATAAGACCACAGTGAGAAAACTAGAGGGCCTTACAAGCAGCAGCAGCACGCGGATCAGATTTACAAATCGGAAAACCATGCAAAAAAAGAAAATACGCACGACACAAGTGCACACACACACCCACGAAACGCGCAATCCACGACTTGCAAATTTACAACTGAACCTATTTCCTTCTCCTCCAGGCAACATGAACGAAGGAGGCTCGGCTCTCACCGCACCCTGCACGCCGGGACGGCAGCCGGGGCGCATTTCGGGTTTGGGATGGCCCTGTAGTGGACATTGTTCCCCGTTAGCCTACGGTGAATCCTGTAGTCAGGGACATGGATGGACTGAAAGCTTGCATCGCTGCCCTGCAACTGCAGTGGCTCAAGGGTCTCCACCACGTCGCTCATCAGCGGCCTCGCCTTGGGGTTCTGGCTCAGGCAGTAGTATGCCAGGCTGCAAGCCTTGTGAGCCGCTCTGACTGAGTACTGCCCCTCGAGCCTCGGATCAATGATCTGCAGAAGCCTCCTCTTGTCATTCAGCTTGGGGCAGGCCCAGTCGACCAGGCTGTGCTCCCTGCTGGACCGTGACTTGTCGATGGACTTGCGCCCTGTGAGCAGCTCCAGAAGGACGACGCCAAAGCTGTAGACATCGCTTCTAGCAGTCAAGTGGCCTGCTCATATTAGGCAGATACATGCGAACAATTCACCGTCAGATTCTGCTAATGATACTCCTATATCGAGCAAATGATGTGTGGTTTCAGCTCATGCAGTAGAAATGGTACTTCTGTGACTGGACAAAATGGAATCGGTGTCTTCTAAGAAAATTAGTTACTCCAAAGGAAATTTACAAAATGAGGACAGTACCAGTCATCACATATTCAGGGGCAGCATAACCATATGTTCCCATCACTCTCGTCGATACATGGGTCTCATCACCTTCTGGTCCAGCTTTTGCCAAGCCAAAGTCAGACAGCTTGGCAGTATAATCCTGTGTCAATTCAAATCAAAGATAAATGTCATTATGTGAATCATATAATTATTCCCGATGGTTATGCGTAGAACTGAAAACAAACAAGGCATGGGCAAGTAATCACTCAACAGAGTCTAGCAGAATGTTCGAGGTCTTGAAATCTCTGTAGATAACAGGCCTTTCAGCATTGTGGAGGCAAGCCAACCCTTTGGCAGCTCCCAAAGCTATAGACATCCTAGTAGCCCAGGGTAAAGGGGATGCTGTCTCTGATAGAGAACAAGAAAAAAACGAAGATATATGGTCAGCAAAATTTCTTTCCTAACCAATACAAGTTTACTCCAACGCATAAGTACAAATACAGTTGATTAGTATAGTGCATATGCCTTAACTAATCAATATATGCATATAGTTTCAGTTATAAATGCACCAAAATAATGCAAACTTCCACCGTAACATGCAGAAGGGATGCATAACAACGGGTGGGGCAAAATATGATGATGCTTGTATCTCATAATGATAATATTTACAGGTCTTAGATTTAGGCCGCGTTCGGCACTCCACCGCTCCTTCAAATCCAAGAATCTACGGAGCAGCTGTTAGCTCGCTCCAGGGATTATAACTCCAGCTCCGTCCGCTCCAGGAGCAGAGCGGAGCGGAGCGGAGGGCCACCGAACGCGCCCTTAGACTCCAATTGGGAACCAGAAAGACTGCCAAGTGCCAACCAATTGGCTTACCACCCACAACCAAGCAAACCAGAATGTTTAAGTGAAGACTTGTTCAAGTTGCTAAACTATGAGGAAGTCAGAAAAGTTGGGATGATTAACATGTCAGTTTTAACAATATTGTATATATCTCCTAAGTACAGTTTCCAACAATAGTACATTCAAATAAAAGACCAAATTGTACTCAGTTCAAAAACAGAAGACATTCAATTCAAAACAGGCCAAAATTCTACTGCTGATTGCAGCAGTAGCAATTACATGTCGAAATCACCATTTACTGGATAATCTCTGGGGTGAAAATTTTAAGCCCTACAAAGTTTAGGTTGAAATGAAATTTTGCCTGAATTAATCCCGCTACTAATCATTTGCAAAATAGTACGAAGTTGATAGAAGATGCCAACGGCACCTACTTTAGATCCCGGCAGAAAGAAAGAGGTGTTGCACCGACAATGCTTAGTTGAAAAGCACGTCAATTTTATTGAGCATTTTATGATCAGCTTAAGGTTTTCTTATCAGTGGAGATGGCATTTGAGAAAAGGGAGGCGACAAAATGAGTAAACATACTGTGCGAGAGAAGTTGCTAACAGTACGAGAAGTATTACTTCGAAATAAATGATTTTCTAGACTTCCTCGAAACATGAACTCGTAGACAAGCAGCCGGTGATCATCTTCACAGCAATATCCAATCAACTTAACTAGATTTGGATGCCTTAGCTGCCCCAGGAAATTAACCTCAGTCTGACCACGAAACAGAGAATGAGTTAACAACAGAACATATTGACAACTCATTAGCAAAATGAGAGCTTCAGCAAAGTAATGACTTAACAGGGTAATGACAGTATGCAAAAATAATAATTCCGAAACAAGTTTAATAGCATTATCTTAGCAGTCATTCACATTAATATACGAAGTTAAGTCTCATTGATTGGTGATATTGCTTGTCTCAGCACACCAAGTACATAATTATGTCAATTACACGAGATAGATACTAATGACCTTTACCATCTTATCAACTTTCCACATTTTGATCATGATGGATACCCAGCATAAAGTGTTTTTACTACAATTTCAACTCACCAAGGGTTATTCAGATTAAGCAACCAAATTTTGCATATAGTCCTCAATGTGCGTTTTCATTGCAAAGATGCTTATTAGAAACATGAGCATGACTGCATGAACCACAGATGCATAGCATCTGCAGATTTCACAAGACTGCACGCATAAGTAGGATATATCAGATTCTGGTATAAGTACAAAATTTATGGATGTCCCTGCACACAATAAACACTATAGATCGTGGGAAATACTGAACAATTTGGTGACTCACAAGCCATTCTCTGTGTCCTTGATGTCCATCTTTGTTGAGCACCTTGACAGCAACAGGCAGCGATTTCAGGCCAACCCGGACATTCTCGTCTATATAACCCTTGTAAACAGTCCCAAAGCCTCCTTCACCAAGAACATAATCGGCACGAAAGCTCTTTGTGATTGTTTCAAGCTCAAACAATGTGAAGGCAATCACATTGTTGTATATAGAAATGTCCTTGGTATCTTCAATTTTGCCAGGCGTTGAAGGATCACTTATGTCTGAAAAGGTCCGGTTGTGCTTCCTATCTGCAAGAGCATTCTTGGCAGAATGTTGCAGCAAGTGCAGCTGCTGAACTGAAGACATGTCATAGCAACAACAAGAGTGAGAAAATAAAGACGGGTTTACAAGGTGTTATTATACATGTATGAAAAGAAAGTTAACAAGAAATTCTCATAGGCAGTATAAATTTTACACGAGCAAGGGGTAAACAGGTTAGGACCAGTGGACCAGATCTACTGCAAGGTTGCAGGCAATAAACCGAAAAACAATCTTCAAATTGCTCACACGATTCAAGTAGGTATTACTAGTACAAGAGATTATGTTAATTCAACTTGCAGGATCATGATTTTATTCTGCAGAAAACCGAAGAGAGTAAACACTGGGGTGGGGGCACCCCAACTGCAGATGCAAGGAGATGTCCCTAATGAAGCCAATCAAGCAGAATTCATGATGCGAAAAACAAGGGGATAGGATAAGAGAAAGCACAGGAGGGGCAGCTCAACAAGCAAATGCATCAAAGAGGAAATCACAGGTCAGCGGTCTAGAAATATATCATCAGTACAGTAAAAGAAGAAACTTGAAGGAAGACCCAAGGAGATGAAGGCTTCCACCAATAAGGATGGAACTTGAGCAAATGCATACGCTAAGGCCAAATCTCTGCTGAAGAAGAAGAAGAAGAAAAAGAAAGACAAAAATGTAGAGCAGATAAAAATTCATCCGAGCAGCCCCTGGCAAAAAAAGTCGAACTAAATTCGCTACCAAAATCACCAATCCGAATAACCAAGGAACTTCTGGCAAATTCCGCACCGACAAAGAGATCCCATGAACTTGCATGCAATTGGAACCCACCAGCCCGAGATCCCGGCAACTACCAGCCCCCAACCGCTCTAGAAAACAGAAATCTCCAACAAACAGAAAGGCAGCCGGCCAGGCAGAGGCCCGCACCTTGCGCGTGCGCGGCGACGACGGCATTCTCCTCCCGCGTGCCGCAGTTGCCCATCGCCTCCTCCTCGCCTCCTCGCCGGCGTCGTCTTCCTTGCGGTGTGGGTCGGTGCGCTGGTGGGAGAGGTAGCCCAGCCTCTCATTCTTGGCGGGGGCCGACAGCCGGCCTCATGCGGTCATGCCACCAGCGGATGCGCCTCCTAGTCCCCCCTCCTCCTCGAAGCAGTGAGCTGTGCGTGCGTGCGGCGTACGAGGAGAACAAGGTGCGAGGCAAAGCAGGCAAGCAAAGCCGGCAGCGCAACCGTGGGCGAGATGGAGACGGCGAGGAGCGAGTGAGGAAAGACTCTTCTTGTTGTTCTTGGCTTGGGTCGTCGTCTCATGAGCGAGTGAGATGCGTCGTGACTCGTGAGAAAGCGCGACGCCTCCTTAAAAAGTGCAGTAGTGCTCCCTTTCACTCTACAATGCCTTTGCCACAAAGAAACCCCAGTTCTAGATTATTTGATTCTTTGAATTTCCAACAAAAGATCACGACTTTCACCAAATTTACAGTCTTGAGGTAAATTTAACACCAACATTTTCAGCCCCTAGTTTTTCGATGATGTTATCTCACAAACGTCAGCTGAGAAGAGGGTAATAAACGAATGTATTTTGCTGACAGTCTTAATTGCGACACGAGATCAAACGGTGATAACAGTAAAGAAGAAATTGTTATGTTGTTCTCAAGAAACTATCAATCCCATACAACCAAAATTGTTATCTAAGCGTTCGCAAATGCCACCCCCTTCTAGCGAACGTTTACTAGCTAAAAGAGTCCCTAATTTTTCATATACTATCTCTACTGTATTGCATCATCTTCTCCTCTTCGGAGAAATCCCAACACAACTCACAAGTAGCAGACGGGAGACGGGGTCATGGTTGGAGTTGTCGCGGCCAGGGACGACGGAGGCAGGCTGCTCTGCCGGTGGTCATTGGTTATTCGGGGAAGATCCTGAACAATGTCAGCCAGGAGACACAAGATGGTCATCCAACCATCCGGAGTAGATCAGACAGTAAAAAAAAGCGTGTGACCCCAATTTAGTTTTCAGTCAACTGACGTGTGACCAGGCTCGTACTTTAGTGTTGAACTCTTAGTGGGTATTTATTCAGATTAGAGATATGTGTCATTTTTAACTTTATGTGTTTTCTGCATCTTCAGCCAGACCGCCTCCCTTCTCACCAGAGTTGCTTCAATAAGGAAAGCATACACCAGAAAAGAGCTATAGTCCTGACTCAAGAGTTCCCTGCCTCGAATGTGCCTACTCGATATGGACAACCACAACAATCGCAGTGCCATCGACAAGTCAACAGATGATGCTCACTCCTATGGAGGGCGGCCAGATAGGTTGTACCATCATCTTACTTGTGTGCAACATTTATGGCTTTATTATTCATCTAAGCATGGAAAATAGATTATCACATGTAGCTGTACATTCATGCTGATCTCTTAAGAGTCTTACTTCAAATAAGAGACTTGTTCATGAATTAACGTTGTTCCATAGTTACAATCCATCAACCAATGTTATCCCACAGGCTGGTGATTATACCACTTCTAGTATTATCCGTGTTGTTTTTCTTTAATACTTTTGTGTGTCATCTAGTTAATCTCAAGTACAAACAATACATATTCTGTAGCTATCATATGCGCTCTCTCTTTAGTTTTTGAGACCTGTTGCTGCTAGTTAAGTCCATTCCTACTATTTTAGTTGTCTCCTGTAGATACTCAAGGCATAATCTCACTACTAGTTGTCTTTCATGCATGTCAGATATAATTACACACACTGATATTGGATATCGGTACAAATCCACTAGAAGAACCTCGTGGAGCAATGTAACGACTAACAAATTCGACGTCAATGATATCCAATATGATGGAACAGTTAAATGTAGTTCTTCAGAAGAGTTGCAGAAAGATGATGAATCCTATTCGCCCCACAAGGTCCTTGCTCTAACTTGGCATGTAATATGGGTAGCATCATGCATATAATGTCCTGCGGTGCATCTACTCTGTTGTAATGTCATATGCTTAGCCTCCTGATCATACATGTAAATATGTCATGCCTTTCTGTTTTCAATACCTATTCCATTCATGGTAACATGTTTTTAGATTTAAGTACTATCATTGTACTATGTCGCAATGCCATTTGCTTAGTTTGGATATCATGCTTCTATATATCTTATACATTGTTATTCATCAGTATCTACTCCATCCATTTACCATAACATGTTTTTTTACATTGAAGTGTTGTTCTACTGGTCTGTTGCAATGCCATCTTAGTTTCCCCATTGTACACGCATATGTTGCCTTCCTGTTTTTCTGTACCTATTCCAGCTATCATGAAGTTTTACATTCAACTAGTGTTTCTTTTACTCTGTTCTCCTGTCCTATCGCTAGCTCTTACATCATACTCCCTCCGTCCAGATTACATGTCACAAAAATGGATAAAAATGGATGTACTAGAACTGAAATAAGCCTAGACACATTCATTTATTTTTGGATGGAGGGAATACATGTCAATATGTCATGCCTTTTCATTCTTCAGTACCTATTCCATCTCTTTGTCGTAGCATGTTTTATAATTGAAACACCATTATTCTATATAAGACATGTAAGGGGAAGACGGCCATGTTAGAATCTGAAGGGTTACAAACAAAGTCTTTGCAAAAGATCCAAATGCCAGGAGATAGTAAACCAACTCCAGTGTTCATAGATAATGCTCCAGCACTGTCGTGGTTTTGTCACGCAGATGTCCTCGTGAAAGGACTTAGTCGTGGAGCCATCGCGACGGGTTAGCTTGAAGGGGTTAAAGCGGACAAGGGACGCGAGGAATTATACTGGTTCGGACCCTTACGATGAAGGTAAAAGCCTACGTCCAGTTGTGATGGAATTGCTAGGGTTTCGATGACCAGGGAGCGAATCTGCTTTGCTTGGCTCTCGAGTTATTGTTTGTTGTCTGTCCCTAAACCGCCACTGGATCATCCCTTTATATACACAGGTCGACGCCCGGCGGTTTACAGAATCCCGAGGCCGGTTGATAAACGTGCCCGGCTCGGTTTCTACCTTTCCTTGCCTTACAACATAAGTTACATATCATATGACGGTTTATGTCTATGGGCCCTAATCCACCTTTGGGCCCTGGGCCTTCATGTTAAATCTCCTCCATAAAGCGCCATACTTCTTGTCTTCACGGGCTTCAAACATGACTAACTCATTATGGGCATAACCCGGCCCCTCATGGCCAGTTTATACCTAGTAGTAATATCTCCAACATTAGGCCCCAGATTGATTTGAACTTGTTCATGTAAATCTTCAACACTTAGGAAAATTCCTCCTTCCGCACCTTCGCATACATCTTGTAAACCGCCATGACGTCATCTTCCAGGTTCATAATAAACCACCATGATGTCACCTGTTATTGAAAATTGAATGTACCGCACCTTCATTAATGAGCCTCCGAGCGACCGCTCTGTCACATATCCAACTTTTGGGCTCCTCGATTTTCACGCCTGTCACTTATCCTTTCACCTTATAAATAAGACCGGGGGGTCCTTTTCATTTTCCCCTCTTGCCTCCTCGCTTCTTCTTCCTCGTGCCGACCTGACCCGTACGCGTAGCCGCCGTCGTCAAGCTCCGCCCTCGTCTTCACCTCCGGCCGCTGCATCAACCTGAACGTTCCAGAAAAACGCGGCACGCCTCCGCTGCTTCAACAGCTTCGGTAAGTTCCTCTTCCCTTCCTCTGTAGATCCACTAGGGTTTGCAAGTTCTTCTGTGTTCTCCACTATTCCTTACGGATTCTTCATAGTTTCTCCACGGCATCCTTTTTTGATCTAAAAGAAGTATGAAACTCACGCGGTAGTTGTTTCGTATCCATTTCAGATGCTAGTAGATCCCTTTTCTTGTACAAAGGCCTCCTTAGAACTGATGAACTCCTCTGTACTGGTTTTTAGGTCTAGACTTATTTTCCTTTTCCTGACATGTGGTAGATCCAAAATTCCAATGTAAAACTGTGAAGCTTGTTTTTCCTCACTTTGTCATTTTTGCTTCAGATATGCACTTTCATTGTCTGCGTGGGCGGTTTATCCTTTAGAAAACAATCTGCCATATGCCATTAGTCCCCTTGTAAACCGCCAGCCGCTTTACCATTTATAATAGCATCAACCTCCGGTTTAACAATTTTGCATGCTTGAATGCTTTTTCCTTAACCTGCTACGCTTTATGCTTGCTAACCATGAGTCTTAAACCGGCATCAATCTTTTCCATTTCCTCACTCAAAATGTCCAAACAATTTCATGCTTGTAACTGGGTCCCTTCCCGGGTTACTGAAGTGCAGCTAGATGGATGCGTCAGAACTGGCGTTTTACCAAAACAAAGCGAAATCCACTGGCGTATTCCCGGTCTAGAAAATCCCCCTACCCCAAAAGATGACGAGGTAGTGGTATTTGTTGATCACATGAATCGTGGTTTTAAATCGCTCGGATCCAAGTTTTTCCATGATGTGCTTGCCAGCTTCCAGATCCACCCTCAAGATATTGGACCCAACTCTGTGTCCAATATTTGCGACTTTCAAGTGTTTTGTGAAGCCTATCTGCAAGAAGAGCCAACGGTTGAATTGTTCCGGGATTTTTTCTATTTGAACCGTCGTACTGAATTCGTAGATAGACCCAACACTGAACTTGGCAGCGTCTCCATTCAGAAAAGGAAGGATGTCAGCTTCCCTCACGCCAAACTTCACAGTCATCCTAAGGATTGGAACCAGACTTGGTTCTACTGTAAGGATACTTCCCCTGAAGATGAGAACCCTCTGCCGGGTTATCGTGCTCACCGACTTACCAACACACACCCATTTCCGCAACGACTGACTGCCAAGGAATGGTCCACATACACACCACAACTCGCCAAGCTCAGAGCTTTCATGGCTAACGGTTTGACAGGAGTGGACTTTGTTCGCTGCTGGATATCTTGGAGTATTTTACCGTTAAGCCGTCGCCCCGGTTTAATGTGTGAGTACACAGGGGACCCAA